TCCGCATGCAGGTTTAGCCCAGTTTTCCAGCTGAGAGAAGAAGGAAAAAAATCACCCATGACAAGAGGAAGAAGAAAGAGAGAGAGAGAGAGAGAAGAAGAATAGATATCTGGCGGAGAGAAGGAAAGGAAATAAAATATATATTTTATAATTTTAGATTGATTTGACGATTATATCTCTACATTTAACAGTTTTTTTTTTTTTTGACATAATGACTATTTAAGAGCACACATATTAACGTTAGAGACCATGAGTGATACAAAAAAACTTTAAGAATGCAATCTGATAGTTTCGTAAACGTCAAAGACGTTTTGTCATAAAAAGCCAATCTTTAAAGTTAACTTTGTCATTTGAAGAAATCTTTTAATAATATAAGTAATTTTTGAACAGAAAATTAACAAGAAGGATCTTGTAAAAACAATTTAAAACATTAGAAAGTGTTAAAGTAATTTCTCAAACCTTAAAAGAGTTTTATAAAAAGAGGAAAGACCGAGTAAGGTGCCAACGTAAATAACTCTTATTAAACAAGAGCCTTTGACCCATTTCACAGTTTTCTCTTCGGAATTTCAAACACAGCACAGCGGCGAAGTCCTTTGCCCCTGACCCGCTTACCATCACTCACTCAGTCAGCCTCTACTTTCTCTCCACTTCCAGTCTTCTCTTCCAAGTTTCGAACGTAGCACAGCAGTCTGATTCCCTCCCTCCCCATTGCGAGGTTATCTCATCAACTTTTTTGTTTTCTGAATTGTGAAATTTTTTTTCTGAGTTGAGTTTTACTTTGTGCTAATATAGTTGCTTTGTTCTCTTCTAGGTTTTCAGCTCCATCTATATCTCTTAAATCCCAATTTGGGAATTTCAGTTGGGACCTAAGTTCAGCTGCTGATTTTTGGTAATTCTTCTCTAACTGTTACTTTACATTTGAATTGCGAATTACTCGTTTTAGTTTGGGAATGAATTGTTAGGGTTTATTGATTAAAGGTGCGTTTGTCTTATGAGAATCTCTGTGTTTGATTTGGTTTTTCTTTTCTTATTATCAATTATCTGTGTTTTTTTATATATAAAAAATTTGGTGCAGTTGGAAAAGTGGTAAATTGCTGGTTTTGTGGTTTTTATTCAGTCATAACTTTCTGGCATTAGTTTATGGAATTTAGTCCTGTATAATTTATAGAATTGAGGGTTGGCCTTGAGTTGTAGTTTGCTGACCCTTGAGTAAGCAACTGTGGCTGGGGAATCTCCTCTTCCTAATTTATATCACTTAGACTTAGTCCTACAAGTTCTATGCCAGCCGTAAAATTAATTGTTTCTTCCACTAAAAAAAAATTCTATCACCTTCCATTAAAAAAAGAGAATAAATGTTTTGTTTGGAGGTTTAGTCCGCCTGAACAAACTATTCTGGCTCCAATCACATATACTCTCTAGTGTGAAAGAAGACGGGGAAGTGGTGCACAAGAGATCAGATGTGTTTGCAAATGGTGGAACACTTTCATTAGCAGTTCAAGATTCATAAATTTCCGTCACGAGATGAATGTCATGAAAAATGCTTGTGAATATTTCTTTAATGACACAGCATAAGAAGGTGCTCACTCTTTTGTTATGAAGCATTTCCCAAGTATTTGGATTTAGAACTTCCTAATCCCATAAATGGTTTCACCGTTTCTGGTTTGTGCAATCAGTTTCTTTGCATTTCTAACAGTGTTTTATTTTCACTTTTGGACCCTGTTGACTTTGATGATTCCTCTGCAAATTTAGAATCCATCAATCCGGAAATCTCAAGAGACTTCCATAAGGACTTATTCATGAGCATTATCATAATAGTTGTTTCACTTCTCTAAGCTTCTGGATCCAATGTGTCTTTGGTGGGGGCACAGATGACTAAATGGTTCTGTTTTGTCATTATTGGTTATTCAATTGTCTAATGTGGGTCTCCTACTTTGGTTGGATATATTTCCTATTTCCAGTTTAGTTGCGTGTATACAATTTTGAACTGGTTCATGGTTTTGCCCTCTTTAAATGAAGCATGCATGGTGATGCTATTGGGTTGGATCTTTTGTATCTTCAAAAACTTTTACTTTTTTCTTCTACTCCTTTTCTAAATTAGTTAAATATCTGTGAAATTAATCAACTCATCTTTCATGCTTCTTTAAAGGGTACTATCTTTCATCCAGGAGCAGCAAGAAAGACATCAATACTTGGGTGTCTTGTGATTGCATCACGAAATGTAGCATTAGACCTTCCCTATTAAGACATTTAAGAATGTGGCAGTTTCAAACAGTGCTGTTATAAAGGTGGATGCATCCCCGAAGTTGATGATGCTTACGTGGCAGTTTCAAGGCATATGTAAAACTGATGGTTGTCAACATTAAGTTAGATTTGAAGAGAAAGTATCTCTCTTGTCAGCCACGACGAAGACAATGATAAATGGTCCTTCTTTCAAAATTCTCAACCATTGTTGGATGGAACTCTAAGAGAATCTGTGAACCAAAGCCGTCCCCACAAAGCCCTCCTTCTCTTTTTCCAAATGAAACAAAATGGTTTGGAACCTAACAACTTCACCTTTCCCTTCTTGGCTAAAGCATGTTCCAAGCTCTCCAACCTCAAATTCTCCCAAATTATTCACACCAATGTTTTAAAATCACCATTTCGGTCAGATATCTTTGTGCAAACAGCAATGCTCAATATGTATGTCAAGTGTGATCAGTTGGCTGATGCCTACATTCTGTTTGAGAGAATTCCCATGAGAGACGTGGCTTGCTGGAATGTGATGCTTATGGGTTTTGCACAATTGGGATTTCTTGATAAAATGTTACATTTGTTCCATGAGATGAGGTTTGCACGAATTCTGCCTGATACCATCAGAGTTATGGGGTTGACCCAGGCAAGTTTGGAGACAAAGAATTAGGCACTGGTGAAAGCCATTCATGCATTTGGAATTCAGATTGGGATAGATGGAGATGTTTCAATGGCTAACACTTGGATCTCTGCCTATTCCAAATGCAATGACTTAAGTTCGGCCATGGCTGTCTTTAATGCGATTGAAATTGGCGCGAGGACTGTTATTTCATGGAATTCAATGATTGCGGGATATGCAAACTTGGAGAAATTTATTGATGCTCTAAATTTTTACAAATGGATGCTCTGTGATGGATATAGGCCTGATATAAGCACAATTGTGAGCCTTTTGTCTTCATGCATTCAACCTGATAAATTGCTACAAGGTGTGCTGATTCATTGTCATGGAATTCAAATGGGCTGTGATTCTGACATTTTTGTTGTCAATGCCCTTATATCAATGTATTCCAGGTGTGGTGATATACTTTCTTCTAGATTTTTATTTGATGGCATGTCAAATAAAACTTGTGTTTCATGGACTGCTATGATCAGTGGGTATGCTGATAAAGGAGATTTGAATGAGGCACTAAGATTGTTTCATGCTATGGAAGCAGTTGGTGAGAAACCTGATTTGGTTACTGTGCTTTCTCTGGTTTCAGGTTGCGGCCAAACAGGAGCACTTGAGCTTGGAAAATGGATTCATAACTATGCCTTTTCTAACAGTTCTATGCCGTGCCAATGAGAACTGTTGTTTCCTGGACAACTATGATCGCAGGCTTTGCTTTGAATGGCAACTACGAAGAAGCTCTGGACCTTTTCTGCCTGATGGTGGATTTGGACTTAAAACCAAACCACTTAACTTTCCTTGCCATTCTACATGCTTGCACTCATGCAGGTCTTCTTGAGAAAGGAATGGAGTTCTTTGACATGATGAAAAAAGTTTACAAAATAAATCCTGGGGTAGACCACTATTCCCATATGGCGGATCTCCTTGGGTGTAAAGGAAGGTTGGAAGAAGCAACAGAGCTTGTGAAAAGTATGCCGATGAAACCTGATGCTCGCATATGGGGTGCATTACTTAGTGCCTGCAAGATTCACCGTAACATAGAGATCGGGGAATACCCATGTCGCCGTCTATTTGAGTTGGAGCCCCAAGGTGCAGTTCCATTTGTGGAGATGGCCAACATATATGCATCAGAGAGAAGGTGGGATGAAGTTGCTGCATTAAGGACAGCTATGAAATTTAAGAAAGTAAAAAAAATTCCAGGACAAAGCCTTCTTCATGTTAATGGGAAACCTCATGTATTTACAGTCGAAGATAGGGGTCATCCTGAAGGCTTGCTTATATATGCAATGTTAGATAGTTTGGCATTGCAGTTGAAAGAAGAACGATACTCGCCACATTCAGACAATTTTGTGAAATGATTAATTTAAATAATTTATATTTGCTCAACATAATAACCATGATCATGAGTGATGCTGTAGATATTTCGTTTGACCAAAGGCCCCCTATCAATTTTTGCATTTTCCATTCGTTTCCAAAAGTTGAACCTAGCAGTCTGTTTTCCTTTCCGTTACAAAGAACTTACATCTCTACTGGTTTGCCTTTCTCCCCTTAGTCATATACTCATTTTTAGCACTAAAATTAAAAATAAACCCTATACTATTTAATTTCTATAAACAAACCCAAAAATAATAACTGGCCATATTTAATTTAATTTTGATTATTAAATTACTTTGATGCCCTATTGAGTGTTTTGGGCTTTTTTATGAGGTTTTGGGGTTGGGTTTGTTTTAAGAAATCAATGGCAGTTTTGTAATTTAAAAGAAGTTAAAATCCTTTTTGTTATGTTGTAAATGTGCTTTTAGTATGTTTTTAAAGTCCATTTCATATATGGTTTTTTATATATAATAATTTGGGCTCCTATATTGGGTATAATAGTGAATCTCTCTTCCTTTTATACAAAATTAGTGAAACACCCATTCCTAGACATGAAACTATAAATATACCATACACTATTTAAAACATAGAAACACACCCAAAATAAACCCAAAACTAACCGCTGTTACATTTTTTAGTTTAATTAGTTAAATGAAATACCTTTATTACCCATTTAGTATTAAATTAGTTTTTTTTTAAAATTATGGACACTCTCTCTCTCTATCTCTCTCTCGTCTCTCTCCCTTCTTGGAAACCAAGCCAGCGATCTTGGTGCTCCGGCCACAGCCAGTAGTGAGAGCGGTCGGAAAAGAACCAGTCAGGGCTGACGATCAAATCTGGGCTACTTTGTACCGCGCTTCTTCAAATGAAGCCTGCGGAAGTGCTAATTGAATCCACTGGTGTGATTGGCCAAAGGATAAAAAAGGTACTATATAACCATCATATTCCTGTTTCCATGTTATGCTCAAATTCTAATCATACTGATTTGCACAGGATTTCTCGAAATATTAACAGATCAGCTGATAAATGTTGCATGATGATTTTTAGGAAGATTTATAACATGATCTGTTCTAAGTGTTGTACAAACGATTCATTTTTTAATTTTCATATGTAGGAAGCACTTCTAAAATCTCTTCCAAAACTGGTTAATTCACTATCAGCATCAACTGAAGGATAAATGTTAATGGTTTTGAACTTAATCTATTTTCAGCATCGAATTTCAATTCGTGTTTTTCTTTTTCTGTGAAACCTTGGGCTTAAAATTTTTAAATCATCTCCTTGAGAAGTCATTTTGCCTTGGTCTACAGGGCAGATGATGCAGCAGTGGCAATCACAACAACTGACCTTGTTAGCAAGAGTGTGGCAATTCAGTGTCAGGTGTGCAAGATCTAGTTTCATGTATTTATATTTGTAGTGTATGCAATATCTGCTACTTTTTGGATTATGTTAATTGTTGATTAGCTGTACAAAACTTTGGCAATATCATGTTTTTATTTTTGAAACCTGTAGGCAATAAAATAGAAACCAGGCTGGTCCTTAAAAAAAACTGGTGAATTTTTCAGGTTGGAGGGACAGATATAAGAATTAGGGGAATGGCAAAAGGTTCTAGGATGATCCACCCCAATATGGCTACCATGCTTGGAGTATGTCTTCTAGTGTTTCTCGCTTGATGTTTGACTAATTATTAACTAATATAATTACATGGACAGGTAATAACAACTGATGCAATGGTTAGCAGTGATGTTTGGAGAAAAAATGGTTCAAGTTGCTGTCAACCGAAGCTTCAACCAAATAACAGTATGTACATTTTTTTTCTTCCAATTATTGAACACCATAACTTAGTGGGGCTACACCTTACGTTGTGTAATCTTCATTTGCTTTTGTGTCACATCAAATTTACTTATCTTAATTAATTACCATATCCATGGAAACTGCAAAAGGGTTTGCTCAATATAAGGTTTGTTGTCATTAGTTAGCAAGGAAGAAGACATTTAATATTTTTTACTAGTGGCAAAAAATGAAAAGAAAATCAAGGCATTGACTGCTGCAGCTCATAGTGTTTTTTTCTGTCATGGCAGTTTTGGTAGCAACTTGTTGCCAAACCAGTTCGCCTGCATCACTTGTTCTTTCAATTTCAGTTGTATTACAAGGTTGCTGGTTTACGAAGATGGGGTTTTTGCTCTGGGTTCCTAGGTTTGTTCCAAAGGGTTGTGTTTTCCATTATGTTTTTCAAGGTTGATGGTTTATGAACATGGGGTTTTGCAGTTATACATTTTTATCGTACCTATTATGCAAATGAAATGTAGTTGTTAGCTTCCAATAACTGGTATGAACAGTTGTTATGACAGGACCTGGCCCGAATCTCCTCGGAAACCGGGACGGACCCCGTCTAAATTCCGACATCACCCCGATGCCGGGTCCACTTACTAAAGACCGAGACTTTCTACCAAAAATTTGGCAGAGTCTCCCCTGTAAAATGAACATTCGCAAACTTCAACCTGTTCAAAATTACAGTTATAAACAACCAACTGGCAGCATGCTTTACAAGCAATAAAACAGTTTACAACAAAGGCCTCTGGCCTCACGATTTATACCATCAGCGGGCGATACATAGCATATCTAAGAAATTCAAATACAACAGAAATACAGTTCAACTGAAAGGAAAAGGTGAAGGAGTCCCTACGAAGACTCAAGTTTCGAGAGCACCCGGTCCGGCTCGACTATGGAGCTCAGTTGCTACTGGCTAGAGGCGCAAAACAGAAAATTGTGAGTGGCCGAAAATTAAGTTCAGTTCAATTAAATCAAAGTAATATAACCCCACCTTTATAAAAACATGCAACGAATCCAGATGCATATTAAAATCGTCATAAGCAGTATATCAACATATACTAAAAATAATATCGGATACCAAATCCGAAATCCGTGAATCACACTTCACAAACCCACCACTCAAAACTTAAAAGTCCCGAGAGATTAAACTTTCGAAAACGTACCCAATGGTACGACTGGCGAGGAAGTATCCTTACCGAGAAATAAGAACAACAGAATATTCATATGTATATATATAATTGTAATATAAAATATAATAATAATAATATATAAATATAACCAACATTTAGTTGTACCGGGGAAACAATCCAACCGGGGGATTGCTTGACTAGTCCACATGGCAGAGCCATTCCTCAATTCACCATGTGTCTGGGGAACGAGCCGTCCAACTGGGGAACTAACTCTCAACCAGCACGTACAGCCGACACAGTCAAAGCTTGTACGCCTGAAATACCAGTCCTACGTGCGCAGACTACTCCAAATTCAGGGTCCATAGCAACATCCACTCAAGGATGTCCTGAAATAATTCCAAGTGTATCCAGTATTAATAATCAAGTTTCAGATCCGGGGAGGTACATAGGATAGTGCTTAAAGCACTTCAAACAAACATAACAATGATCACACCTTTACATAACTCATATTATCAAAACTTTATGAATAATACCACAAATTTCACATTCGAATATATACCATATTCAATAAACAAAATAAAGCAATATGCCATGTTTTCCATGAATAAAGTCATGCTGAAGTTTTGAAAGAAAAGTCCACTCACAAGTAGTCCCACACAGTTTGACCCTGATAAGGTCCCTCCTGCTGCGTATACGGGGTCAGAGTACCTGATTCAGAGTACGAAAATGCGATTAACATCAAGCACTTCGAAACAGAACTTTAAAATAGGGTCCTACCCAATTCGCACGATGAAACAGCCTCGGAAGACACTCGGTCAACCAACGGTCAAACTTCCCAATTCGGGTCAACCGGGCCCACGGGACCCACCACCTCCGTTTTTCAATCCGGGAGTTCCTATAGGTTTTACAATGTCTAGGATACACGTTCTGCAAGTTTGGTCCGAAACGGATGGTTAGATCGCTCACGATCACACGATTGGACGGTTACTGAAACTCTAACCCTAGGGTTAGCATTTTCGGAGAATACAGGACTCCGTTTTACGGTCTGTTGAATCCTACATGATCCTAAGAGTGTCTAGAGTAACATACTTCAATTTGAAAACGATCCAACGGTCGGAACATATCGAACAGAAATTCCGGTGACGGAAAATCTCCAAATCACAAGTCACCCTCCCGGCTACAGGTCCTACTCAACTAGGGGAGCACTTCATTCAACTACGGCCAAGCCCAAAACCGCCGGGAACTGGCCAGAATTTCGAATTGAAAACCGGTCAAAACCCTAACTTCTCAAATCGGGTTTTACACAGCAAAAAGATCCAATCCTAACCAAAGGCAGCTAGAACAGAAAGAGAGAGGAAAAAACCTCACCTCAAACACCAGAGAAAGGCGGCGGAGACGACGGCGCAACGATTGGAAAATCCCGAAATGAACCAGTCGCAACTGCCAGCTATTCTCGAGTTTTCCGGCGATGAAAGCTATTGGGTCTTGACCGGGACATCGAGACGAAGCTTTTGGGATCGGTCTCGAGGGCTGAGGTGGCCGAAAGTGGTGGCGGTGTCGATTTTTCTGTTCGGGTGAACAGTAACTCTGGAGAGAGGGAGAAGAGCTCGGGGAGAGAGAAAGAGAGAGTGAGGTAAAACTGAAAACAAAACTGATTTTTACCCAAACCCTTCTCGAGTTAATTACGATTTTGCCATCGAAAGGTAAATTGATCGCCGAAATTTCGTTACAAATCCAAATCGAGTCCACCACACATCCACGGACTCACCTCAATGCGACCAATCCAAAAATACCAAACTCTCTTTCCGGATTAAGCAAATGACCGAAATACCCTACCCCAAGGGTAATTTCGTAAATTCACATTTAATTAGATTAAATACTTTAAATTAGAAATTTACTTGGAGTCGGGGTGTTCCATGTTACACTGTTCATGGCCTGCAGTTGAGTTGATTTCTATGATGTAATATTAACAGTGTACTTCTATGACATAGTATTAACATATTTTCAGTAATAAAACATGCTCTATATTTTGCTCATATAGCTGTGCACTTGAAGTTTATAATATGCATAATGTGATTTTCATAAGGAAGATAGTTCTATGACATAGTATTAACAATGTACTTTTTTTTTCTTCTTGTAGAGGGCCCTTAGGATAGCTTCTTGTGAAACTATGTTCAATTGGAGGTGGTTTTTGCAAAGGATATCAGATGTCTTGTTGGGTTTTTTTTGGTTTTTTTTTAGTTTTTTGTATGAAATGGTATTAACAATTTTTTTCTATGAAATGATATTAACATTGTACTTCTATGACATGATATTAACAATACACTTCTATGACATGGTATTAACAATACACTTCTATGACATTGTATTAACAATGTACTTCGGGCTTGTTGGGCTTTTTTTTTTTTTTTTTTTTTTGAGGTTTTTTTATTGTGCTTGTTTTAAGTTAATTAATGGTAGAGATGTAATTTATAGAAACTTCAACACTCAATTTTTAGATGATAAATGGTTTTTGGGTTTTTTTTTATAAAATTGGGATGGGCTTGTTTTGGGTGCTATTTAAGTTTTTTGTGTTGATCTTATTTTTTAAGTTGATCAATGACAGTTATGTAATTTATAAGAACTTAAACACTAATTTCTTATGTAGTAAATGAGTTTTGAGTGTGTTTTTAAAGTGCATTCTATGTGGGGTTTTTTTTAATAATTTCAGCCCCTATTTTGGGTATATTAGTGAAGCTCCCTTCTTTTAATTGGTTTCTTGTTAGTAACATGAAGTTTTTCTTTTGGTTTTGTTAAATTATTTTCAGTTTCATATTGGACACCCATTGTGCTCACTTGCCATAACTAACTCGTAATGAAAGTTTTTGAAGACTAGTACATTCATGGACCATTTACAATAAAAAAAAAA